TCCATTTGTGCGGGATACTGAAAATTTTTCATCTGAACCTATAGGTCCAAACTCTGTGAAAGGGCACAATTCAAACCTACAGCATTACCTGAGCAATTTCATTGGCTCCAAGGTCAGAAAGAAGCCCTTATTTAATCTATCTCCCCATGTAACACACAGGTTTTCAGCCAGAAATCAATAAAATAAGTGAATGGCAGGAACAGCTAGAATGTATCTTAGGGCATGTCCACAAAATATTTAGAATTTGACTTTGATCTGAAAATGAATTCTCCACTGCCAGATATATAAGTAGCCACATGTGAATGCCACAGGAGAGTACTCAAGTGCTACTTTGTGCTATTCTGGTTACAATTATTACTGAATCCTTGGGGGAAAAAGCTCATCAATCATGGAAATTACTCTCTGGGTAAAAGAATTCCTTTCTAAATGCAGATGGGATTCACTCCCATACTTCCATGCATGCACTATTTTTAGGTGCATTACTTAAGTATATAAATTTATCCACATATTTAAGTGTTCTGCTGGATCAGAGTCATAATGAATTGATAGTTAATGCTATGAATTAATAAGCTATATTTAAAAACCAAAAAAACATATTTTTGAGAACACTATATTCAAGTGTTTGTAACTAATTTAGGGCCTTTCAAACTTCTAATACCTAGGAGGAGATTTGTGCTCCTACTTCACTTACGTAACAGCAAGTTCTGAGGAACTGCAGGTTACTACATGCATTTGTAAAGATGCATAAGCTGGCCAAAGAACTGACAATATCCAAACAAATAGAAATTGCACCATAATGTTTCTCAGCTCACACTGTACTGACAGGAGATAGAATGTCACCACTTTGTCCAAATTATACCATATTATATCCAGTATATTCATGGGGAAGAAGGGGGACCAACACCACAGGGCTTTTGCCTAAAACTAGAAACAGAGTCCCACTCTCCAGATTATTCCAGCCCTGCAAAAACCTAGGAACCATTTCACAAGTGTGCTGCACTCATAAGCACCCAAGGCCACAGGTACAACCGTTCTGAAGTTTTCTCCTTTTTGAGGAAACAAGGATGAACGGCTCAGGAGGGACAATCACCTATTCAGTCAAGTCCGTATATTTGCCTATTATCCTCTCATGTTCCTCACACTAAATCAGGAATAAGTGGTGTAAGAGAGAATTAGTGTGTCCCTGCAAGGGCATGATGGCACTTTGTGGACTTGTAGTTAATCACTGGATGTTGTTGCTCCATATTATTGCTGGTTGGTTAACTGCAGGTAGGTAACTTGGGTTTGCTACTGAGCTACTGTGGGTGAGCAGGACACCTACTTTACCTTTTCTTGCACTCGCTGCTACCAAACCTTCTCTGTTTTGGGGTAAAGGGAGGGTGGCAGAAATTGCCAGTTAATGGAATTTTATGTTCTATGGTCAGAGGATTTCACAGTAGGAAGATAGCATGGGCCGTTTCTCTGGATGATAGGTAAAGCTCTTTTGCAGTTCCTGTGAAGTCAGTTTAGCACTGCACGTGGATCATGACTACTGCTGGGGGTGCACACAACTTCTCTGGCAATTCTGCTTCGTTCAGCAATTACAATCGCAGAAAACAGTGTTTGTTCAGCAGCTCTCAGCCTATATTTCAGTCAGTGACAATGCTGGAATTGACTTCTCCAGGAAGTTAATGTGTTTCCCCTGCATACCTTTATTGGCTTAGTTTAGACTGTTACAGCTTACTCACAATGAACCCTCCTTCAGGAATCAATCAAAAATTGGATAGAGTTTGGGTTTTCTTTCTTTCAGAGGATGTTGATTTAATTAAGAGATTTTGTAGAATTTTATTCGTATTGTCAAAATTATCTTATCTAAAAATAGCAACAAATTTGTTTGAAAAGTAAAGTTTGAAAATTTGTTTTGCATGTAATTTTCAAAGAAAAATTAAAAGGCTACTGAAAGTATGTAAAGAACGCTTTTTCAGTATTTCCAAAGTTAACATCTTTCCTTCTACATTCCAGTTTTCTCAAACATTTCAAAATATGAGTGTTTTTAGAAGTTGAAGGGTTGGGACTTCTTAAAAAATGGGTGCTCTCCATCACAAGAAGCTCTGAATTCCCTTGGAATCAGCTCAGAAGCAGCAGCAGCTGCAGATGTGTCACTTCCATCACTCTCTTTCTTTGGCATCAGTGCCTTAGATCCTGACAATCCTAATCTGCTCTCCCTTGTTATTTGCATGGAACAGAAGTGCACACAAGGCATGAAATAGAAGACATCAAGATAGATGATTCATCTCCAGTCTTTTGCAACTCCCTAAATGCTCTGTTCCTGAGGTATTTGAAAAGATTGTCACTCTTCACCTTACCCTGTGGTGATTAAAATGGGGAAGTGATTAAAATGGATGGGTGATGGGCTGCAATTACTTTGCCCTTCTACTGTGCCTCAAATTTTGCCATGGCAGGAAATTCCTGGTGCAACAAGCATTTGAGACTGGAGCAAAAGGAAACATTTTTATCATCTACTATGATCTCCTATAACAAAAAAAAATTTTTGATAGATAGATAGATAGATAGATAGATAGATAGATAGATAGATAGATAGATAGATAGATAGATAGATAGATAGATAGACAGACAGACAGACAGACAGACAGAGATACCAAAGACCTTTGAGCCAAGGAAATTTATTTCTCAGGATAAGAATTGTAGAAGCCAACACGGCAGGCGGCACATAGTGACTGAGGACACATTGTATCTGGTGGCTTCATAAAAGAAGAAAACATTCTCAGGCTTTACCCCAAAAAGCTGTTAATATGGACAGAATAGGAGGAAGTGACCTAAACAATATTCCTCTGTGTCATAGTTTGGGGTAGAAAAATCTGAGTTTGCAGACAGAAAGAGAAAGAATTTTTACAAACTATATAAATGGACAGAGACATTCTGAAACAGGCAGCTACAAGTTCAAGCAGAGCAAGCAGCCCCACGGGTACTCCCATGTGCTGGGCAGGAAGAACCAGTGGATGACAAAAGGCAGTAAGCAAAGATGGAGAGGGAAATCTACTCTTCCCAGGACAACTCAATGGATGCCAAGGAGAGTACTGCCTTTAATTTCAAGGACTTGATTCCATATAATGTTTGATCAATATACATATTATAATTGAAAAATTATAATTATGAAAAAATTATAGATGGAAAAACCAGGAATAACTCTGTTCAAAAATATGTAGAAGTTCTGCTCCCTCCTATTTATTTTCACACAAGCTCTCTACATGGCAAAATCCAAACCTGACTACCACTGAATCCTCTTAAAAGGCTGCTTTTAGTTTCCTACACTAAGACTTCCCCTGCAGGGTACAATACAGCTTTGACTTCCTAGTGTCCATCTGAAATCATTCTCTGCCCGTTGAGACATCATTAGTACATTATAAGCATTGCACTACAAAGCCTCCAGAGCAAGAAATGAAATGCCAAGCACATGTGATTACAAAGTCTCAACATCTCCCAGGGAGAAAACATACTACAGTAATTTGGAATAAGTAAAGGCCACATCATGTCCTATGAGCCCACGCATGCCAATAATTTCTATTCTTAGCTCTTCCCCTGGAAGGCAAAAGGAGAGACAAACTCACCTTTTGCCTTTACAGGAGCTTTCAATAAAGTTGAGAAAAAGAAAGGCAGCCACGTGTGGGACAAACCACAGAACCAGGACTTCCAGGTCTGTCCCACCAGCCTGCCTAGCACCGGGCAGCAGAAGGGGCAGAAGTGTGGCAGAAATGAGAGGGTCTGAGCCAGCACCCCATCCCCAGTTGCCCTGGGTGGCAGGGTGCACAGTGCCCTGTAGGTGCCAGAGGTGCAAGGAGAGCCTCACACCTGGCACCACGGTGGTCAGGTTGCTCACAGCCCTCTTGAAGGGCTTCTCTGCTCACTCCTGCAGTAGGTATGAGTGGCACCAGCCTGAACTCTGCCCGCCAGGTCCCAGACTCAGACATGTGCCTGCCACTCAGACACAAGACAAGGCCATTAAGTCTCCCTTGGGACTTTTCCACTGAAGCTGAAGTAGACTGGCACGCAATTCTGAAGGACAGCCAAACTTCCTATCAAGCTATAACTGGCTGTTTTCTTCTTCAGGAAAAGTAGGGATTTGGTGCTAGTAACAGCCACTCAAATAACATTGCAGAAATATGCACATGTCCACTCTGGTATGTGTATATGATTCCTACATCTTGATGTTACTATAAATTAATACTGAAGCTTTTTTACTCCAAACATTACAGTTTCCTAGCCTGTGTACTTTGTGGAGAACAACTACATCCCTCAAATGAAAATTAATGCACATTTTGACAGGATAAAGATGTTACAAATCAACATTTGCAAATGTTACCTGATGCATAACTCTTGTATGGCTTGACATGTTATTAACAATACTTTAAATCTTATGTTATTTTTAAAGTAACAATTATGTCTGAAAATAGCCCCTTTCAAATTCAGTTGCAGTAATGTCTTTAAAAGCAAACTTTAAATTTAATTTGCTGCACATACAATTATCCAAGTAAGTTGCATAGTTTAAATAAGTTCAGTTGTGCTTTGTAGCAGAACTCACAGTAATTATTCATCTCTTAGAAATACAATTTGCGAAGATTAAGTTGATGATACATTTAAGTATTTTTGTGACGTCTAGACACCAATGATATGAGTTTTTGTCACTCCTTCCACTGACTTCTGCTTTTCTTAACACCTCACCTTTAGAATGATACTAGATCAGAGCATGGACATTTAATGGACACATCTGAAATAATTACAAACACAATTTTTAAAACTCCATTGTCAGGAGAGAAGAAATAAGAACTTGGGTTGGTTTGAGGTATCCAGCCCTCGGGAACATATTATGGTTGTTTGCATTAAGCTTTGTTGGTTTTACCACATGTTACATTGAGATTAAAAATAGAAGGCACAGGTGTTTTACAAGGCGCCATAATTAAGTCAACCAACAAAACCAAATATTACATTACCAAGCCAGGGGTCTATATCTCAGCAGTAACTTCTTCCAATGCATTTTCACTTAAGGAATTTATTGCTTCTGAAAAAGGGCCGGGGTATGTCTGTGCTACGCAGTTCATTCCTTGTGCCACACTGATGTCTCCTCGGGAACTGAAGGTAGGGCAGGATCTAGTCCGTGCATAGTTTTGTTGAGGTCCACCTTGTCCAACCATCTCACTCACAGTGTTCACCGGCGACGCCCTCCATCTCTGTCTCTGCAGTTGTTCTTCTTTACACTTAATGGAATACCAGGCCAAGAAAATAAAAAAGAATCCCACGAACTTGAGAGCAGCTGCCAACCCAAAGTAGACAAAACGAAATGAGGTGACATCGTATTCCCAACAAGATCCTTGTACACCGCAGTCCTGTTGCCAAAGCATGCACGTGGTGTCAATAACAGCCCCAAAATAAATCGGAGTGGGAATGTAAGCTGAAATAAAAATAGCAAGAGAAATATGTGTTAGCACATTGTGGAAAAATTCTACAGAAACTATATGCCTTAGCCAAAGAGTGCAGGTCAAAACTTTTTGAGATTTCTACACTGCTGTTCTCACATGAAACGCGAAACATGGAAAACTGGTCAGCCAATCTTTCCACCAACACTACTTATCCCATACATGAAACATACCAGAAATTGGAGAGAATTCAAATGAAGAAGACAATGCAGCAGCACCTTACAACAGGTACTGCTTCAATCTGCTGTCCCCAGACAGCTCTTCTTGAACTATGTGTCCCCCAAAAGAAAATCCAATGTTGCTGTCAGGAAATAAAATATCGGAAATGAGCAAATACATTATCACTGTAGCAGTACTTGCTGAACATCCGTTGAGCTGGGAAAGCGCAGGGGTTGCTGCTTTAGATTAAGGAGAAAAAGCACCGAAGACCACAAAACATTTCTCTTATTGAAGATGGATAGAAGTGGTAAGACCACTAAAATTGTACATTTTCTTCTGTATAGAACTTCCTCAGAAACAGACTTTAACTTCTAAGGCAGCTAAAAATGCAGCCTGTCCACTGAATTCTCCTGCTGTCTCCATAAATATGACCCCTTTAAGACAAGTCAGAAATGTCCTTCCTCAAACAAAACTTCCAGGTGTAGCTATATGGGCTTCTCCACTTGTTCTCTTAGAATAGTTCTTGCTTGCTTTAGTCATGTCTTTCATAGGAGCTGAACACCTGGAGTGTTACTTATAGGCAGGATTTTAGAACTTTAAGAGCTTGAAAGAAACTTCTTTTCTTTTTAACACACCTTGAATACTGTGTGCAGTTTTGGGCACCACAATGCAGAAAGGTTATAAAGTTATTAGAGAGTGTCCAATGGAGGGCAACAAAGATTGTGAAGGGCCTTGAGGGGAAGCCATATGAAGAGCAGCTGAGGTCACTTGGTATGTTCAGCTTGGAGAAAAAGAGACTGAGGGGAGACCTCATCGCTGTATACAACTTCCTCACAAGTGGAAGCAGAGGGGCAAGCACTGACCTCTTCTCTCTGGCAACCAGTGACAGCAGCCAAGTGAATGGCCTGAAGTTCTGTCAGGGTAGGTTTAGGTTGGGTATTAGGAAAATGTTCTTCACCCAGAGGGTGATTGGGCCATGGAACAAGCTCCCCAGGGAAGTGGTAATGGCACCAAGCCTGACAGCATTCAAGAAATGCTTGGACAATGCTCTCAGGCACATGGTGTGACTGTCGGGGATGTCCTGTGCAGGGCCAAGAGTTGGACTCAATGATTCTCAAGGGTCCCTTGTAACTCTGACTATTCTGTGATTCTTTGAACATATACCCTCTTTACTTTGAAACACTTGAAATTAGACATTAAGTAACAAATGCTTATTCTAAAAATGGAAAAAAAAGCTGTTATTGCTGAAAGCAACACAAATCTATTTCTAAAAGAGAAAGAAATCCTTATAAAATAATACTTAGTAACTATTAATATTTTAATACAATTAGAAACAGTAAAAATTAATCTTCCTGGGACAACAATGTTCTAGAAAGTGAGTAACAAAAAGAAGAATAGCACATTTTCAGATACAACATTTTCAGAAGCTATTAATTTTAGGTTCCTAATACAGTTAGTCAGGCAATTAGTTGCAGATTTATGGAATTTTAGTATTTTTATGGTACATTTAAGCTGAACATGGTGAGCCTTTACAGAAATGCTGAGCAACTGCAGGACTTACCAAGAGTTCGTAATAAAACAAACTGCATTCCTAGTGCAAAGGGCCTCTCCCCATCTTCCACAGACCTAGCAGGTGAAAAGAAAACTCCACTAAAGAAACAGTCATAACAGATAATCATTCTGGATCTACCTCCTGGCTTTTTTCTGAGCTTTAGAAAATATTTGTCTAAATTTCTTCTATTTAGCTCCAACTATTGTTAACTTTTATTGCTAGGAAAAAAAAACAGCCAGCCCCTCCTAAACCTGTTTGATCAAAATCTCACTCATGCTTCTTAACTTTCCGTTACCCATGTAAGGCCTGAAGAATTTGATCCAAATCTATTAAGGCAGTTTAGAGAATCCATGCAAAAGGTTTATGGTTTCTCATGATAGCTTTCTATTATTTCATGCAATGTCTTAATTTATTTTTCTTAGTCTTTATGAAGTAAATTAGAATTAATGGATAATTAAGTTGCTGAAAGCTGGACTCAGTTTCTGAATTTAACAAGTCTCTGTGTATGCTAAACACTTTGGAGCTACTGTAGGAAAAATATCAGTAGAAACATCCAAACAATCCCTTTAAACAGTGTTCCTTTTCAATACAAGTAACACAAGAGTCCTTCCATGGATTTCAAAGGAAAAATGTCAAGCTTTCAAAAGACTAAATACAGAATAACAATATTCCACATGCACCTACGATTTTGGTAAACCACAAATTATCTACTGATTTAATATAATTTTGATTCTTAACCTAAAGCTCTGAAATTAAGATAGACAACTTCTAATGACATTGAAATATAAGACAAAACCACACAAAAAGTCTGCAAAGGGAGACAGCTGTAAAAATCAAGGATTTTTTGAAAAGAAACTGGAAGACAAATTTCACGACGTGACATGGCACAGTTCTCCATGTGTCAGCAGCAGCCTCCTGAATAAACCTTAGCCACTTGAGCTGAGAAAATTACATCAAGAGAGCGCTTGTCATTGCTGAGGATGAGACAAAGATGCCTGCCAGAGGGATTTTCAGCTGTGCTCATGACTTGAGCCTATGGATAGCAAAGCCAGGTCCTGATCTGCCTGTTTCTAAATCTGCCTGATTTACTGTTTCTAAGGTTCTATGACCTATTACAAAGACTTGCTATTACTATTTTTGTTTGAAGGTAATTGTGAGCAGAGCAGAACATCGGTAGTCTCAGAGTATCAGAGTGAAGCTGTAAAGACACTATCAGAAGAAAATCCCACTTGGTTGGGAGGACCATTCTCACAGAAAGAAAAGGCCCAAGACTGGTTTTTTAAAAAAAATAATCTCAATTTGAAGACACATTTTACACACAACGAGGACAAAAGGTGCAATTAATGCCGCTAAACAGCCAGTGCTGAGGACCTGATGGGCACACCACAAGCATTTCAGTTTTTGTAGGAATTTACTTCCTATCAGCTCTAACCTGGTCCCTGGGACAGCATGCCCATTTGCATGGATCATTTTAGTGTTCCTCTGAAGAGCATCTCAAATACTAGAAGAGGCTTCCTAGAGAGATGGTCAATGCCCCACGCCTGTCAGTGTTAGGACAATGCCCTTAATAACAGGTTTTCATTTCTGATCAGCCCTGGAGTGGTCAGGCAGTTGGACTAGACAATTAGAGAGACTATTTACAAGACCATGTAGTGACAGAACATAGGGGAATGGCTTTAAACTGAAAGAGTAGGTTTAGATTAGATATTAGGAAGAAATTCATTACTGCAAGGGTGGTGAGGCACTGGAACAAGTTGCCCAGAGAAGTGGTGGATGTCCCATCCCTGGAAGTGTTCAGGGTCAGGTTGGATGGAGCTCTGAGCAACCTGGTCTGGTGGCAGGTGTCCCTGCCCATAGCAGGGTGGGTTGGAACTATATGATCTTTAAGGTTTCTTCCAACCCAAACCATTCTATGCTTCTGTGATCATTGTAAGTCCCTTCCAACTGGCCTATTCAATTCTATTCTATCTTCCAGCTCATCTCCATCTGAAAGGAACTTACTTTTTGAACTCTGAGCTCTTCAGCTTCAGATTACAAACCAAATAGACACGTCTAAATCATTCCCTTTGTCCTTCCGAAACCAGCAGAACCAATATTTATGGATGTGCTTTGGAAAACCTAGCACATAATTATATCACTTTCCTCTAATTCTTCCTCCTTCTCTTTAAACAGCATCAACAAATATTATGCAAATACAAATTTATTTTAGCAGTAGACCATATTACGTTTTTTCAGCTCACTTTTCTTTAAAAATCAGCAGACCTTCATTTACAGGAGCTGTACTTTAAATGGACAAAGTTGTTACAGGGAGTGATTATGTTTATCAGATTAGATGGCAGAGATGGCAAAGGCCAATCAAAAAATCCAAATGCTTTTTTCAAATTGACAAATAAATGCCAATGCCTTTTCCTATAAAGACTGTGTTGTTCTCTATCCTTATATGACCACGGTGATAACACCACTACTACAGTACAAGTTCAAAATTCTTGTGAAGAAAAAAAAGGGAAGACTCAAAACCAGGCATGTGGCAGGAATGAACAATTTTAAGAAAGAGAAAAGGATAATCTGAAATACTTCACTTTTTTCATTTGCATTTGAAAATCCAAACCATTGTTCTAAGAAGATTGAAAATTTTTCAGGACTAGTCATTTTCTTACATGATGTTTTACTTGTTCTGTCTACATAATGCCTGGAATTTACTGGGTATTTCATGTTTCCTAAAGCGGATTATCATGTTACATATTCTAAATACAAGCAAGTTCCACCCTATCTCTGTCAGCCCTAGTCTATTCACTTTTTAAGGATAGGCAAGCTTGACAGGCACTGGTGACAGCAGGCACAGCAAAAACACTTACTTAATAAACATAACTGAGTTCTCACCTGAGTGTGACTATGATTGCCGATGGTTGGGCGCATGCTGTTATAAGGGTAACAATGAAGAGAAATATCAGGAACGGGATAAGTGTGTTGCAGGTTCGGTCACACTTCCCAGAAACGGCGTAGCCATTCTCATTCAGGTAGGTTTTGACAATCACTAGCCGGAGCTGACTGCGCTGCCCCACTGTCGGCGGAGTGATCACCTGGCGACTCTGGACACAAGCACATTCTGTGTAATTTCTTACCTGGGGAGAGCAAAAATGAGCATTTCCACATGAAAAACCCATGTAAGAAAGACTTTGCACAGAGACACGGTACAACAATCCCATGGTACTTCTCACCTGAGAATCTTCTATGTTGAGTACCGTTACCCCAACTACAAGCAACGTTACATCTCCAAGTAATTTTGAAGCTAACCAGGACTCTCTGTGATGAGACTGCCTTTCCATTGCTTTATTTGGTCTGAGTTTAAAAAAAAAATCTGGAATATTTTTTTTAAATTCTGCTAAAACAATTCAATGACTTCTGACAGGGAGGCTGGAAAAAATATTGTTCCTATTGTATTACAAAAACTGTGAGGAAGCACTCTTTAGGCAGCACCAACAATGCCCTATTCTGAATTCTGGCAAACTGCTGACTTTTGTATTCAAGTGGTGTCCTCTGCCATCTTAATGGAAGGCTACCCAGATCTGGCCAAAGAGAAACAAGCTGCATTTCATGCTTGAAGCCCAGGACCTTCCGTCTGGACGTGGGTGTGGATCTGACGGGAGTAAAACCAGAGAAAAAGGGGAAAGTGGGGACTCAAGCAGTGAGACTGAAGGGCATGAGGGATTCCTGAATGGACAAAGATAATAGAATAAGATGAAGAGACTGAATAAGAAGTAGCATTTCATAGACAAAGGGGCCTGTGATTTCAGCAAGGTGAGGAAGAGCAAGATCAGAAATAGCCTCTTTTCACATTTATTTTACTTCTGTTTTCATCTAATCTAATGGCAAAGGGGTGTGCAGCAGGCCAGAATATTCCAGTGCTAGAGAAGACACAGGTCAGAACCTACATGATGTTACAGAAAGGAGTTTTTTGTTTCAATTTTTGCTTCATAAAACCTTAGACCACACATGAACAGAAGTTACAAGACCATCCTAAGGTTGCAAATTTAAGCACTTTGGACATCAAGACATATCCAAATTATGGCTGCTTGTCAATTATAATGTATTCCTTTGTATGTATTCATGTTATGATGTAGCCTCACATTTGTTTTCCCATGGGATTTAGATGAACATCTTAATAATATATCTATTTATCCAGTATTTTACCTCCCATTTTCAAATGTGACCCCAGGTATTTTTTTCTTCACACTAAACGTATTCCACTACAAAGACAGAATGACTCATATTTCATATGGATTTTTCTGTCACACTCACCATTATAGCTTAACTCCTTCAAAAGGAGTCATTTATCTTCAAAACAGTTATGAGATGAGGTATTGATGTTATCTCTATTTTGTAGCTAAGTAACTGAAACAGATCACAAGTTTCACAAATGTGGGTGACTAATTTGAGACAATTGGAATCCTTTTGTTTCAGAACCTTTTTCCATTATACACAACTAAATATACCCTAAATGTAACTTTTCATGCCACTAAATACAGATTTAGGCACTCAGTACATCTACAAATAGCACTTCTGGTTATTCCTCATGTTCATCATCCAGAACATGAGGAATACAAGTTTAATGACCAACTGGGAGTAGTTTTGTTTAAGTGACTTACCCAACATCACATAGGAACAAAGGCAATGACAGATTCCAGTCTCCCAAGGCAGCACTCCACTCTCTAATATCACATGAGTATCTGATTTCTTTCTACAGTCCCTCACTCTAATTTCCTTATTGCTTCCAAATGCAAATGTAAATGCCAAATAGGCATCCTACAGAAATTAGTCCTCTTTACTACACAATCTTAGTTCATCACCAAAGAAATCAAGTCTGTGTACTAAATGAGACAGACATGATGTGACAGAAATGTTAGGGTATAGGAATATATATATATAAAACTGGTATGAACTGCAAACTTTGAGCTTTTAAATGCTTAATTATGAAAACACTATATGTTATATACTTAAATCCAAATGTTATAGTTTAGCAACATTTTGTGTGTTAATACAGTGGCACAAACTTACATTCGCTGTTTTTAAACGTACCCTACATAAAGCATTATTTAGTCAAGAAATGCCTTTTCCAAGCAATGTCAGCCCTATTCTAATCACCATTAACTACCAAGTTAAAACTTCAGACCATGAATCATTTTTTCTTAAATTGTAACAGAAGACAGAATGTCTCAAAATCTGTACTGAAGAGCACGTACTCCCAAGGTATCACCCTACTAAAGGAATTAATAGTGCAGCTTGATATCAAGTGAAATGTAGGGATGATCAAATCTATGTCTCAATCCAGGGAAGCATAAATTAGATTTATATAGACACTGAAAGTTAACTACATGCTCATATCACAGGCTTCTCCAATTGGGCCAAAGCAATTTTCTACTAAAAAACCCAGAATAATCTAAAAAAAACCCAAACAAATCAAAACAAAATAAAAGCACTACAAAGAAAACTAATCTAAGTGGCATGTATGTATGAACTTGCTTTTTCAGAGCATTGTCCAGTAAACGTGAGAAACCACAGCACTGGGCCTAACATCTTCCTGCTTCACAGGCTGGCTCAGGGCTGCCAATCAGGAGACTGATACTTTATAAGTTAGCTTTCTGGAAAGCCCCAAGAAAATCAATGTTTACTTTATTTCCCGACTTTCTTAATTATCCTTTCTTAAAGGATTGTTACGTACCAAAATAAGTTAAGAGTTCATTTTTTGTATGAAACTAGCATGACCATAACATGCAGTTGATATTTAGGTCAGATTCTACTTTTTAACTGTTTTCTTGTGCCCAGTCCTGGAAACTGCCAAATTTCCATGGTTTGATTTTACCAGCAGGATGTCCGTCCCCATTCCAGCATAACTGCAATACTGGGCTGTAACAGGCAATAAATTTCCAAAAGAGAAAGAGGATTATTAAGAACTTTTAAGTTCTGGAAACTTGAGTTTGATGACAACCACTTCATTTAGCTTAGAAGAGGTTTAGAAAAAGGCCATGGGAATGGTCAAACTGTTTTACAAAGGCAGAATACATAGGCAGTCTTTACCTAGCCAGGCAAACCACATACCTATCAGCACACTGGTACAAGTGCAAGAGCTACTTGTGCACAATGGTGAGGCTGATACAAACACCAATGATTTCAAACAGGAGTTTAAAACACTTCCAGCTACCTGAGGAGTTAGGTTCTTCCTTCAGTTCAGACAGAGTGTCAAGTAAAACCACAAACCGCTCTAAAAAGTAACACTGAGCTTGAAGAAAGACAGTATGACATGGCTGCCAACGTTAGAAGAAAGCTAAATCGGGTGACACTGACTCCAGGTCCCCTCTCCAAGCCCTGCAGGAACAGCAGACACCTGGGTCACTGCCATTAGGGACTTTGGGGTTTGTACTGCAAACACTAGCCCTCCCTACCCCATGGCACTTTGCACTCACTTGGTTGGAGGATTCACTTGGTAAAAATGAACTTGTGCCTCAAATTTGTACATAACTGAAAGGAAGTGGGGTGGGACCATGCAATAGTAGCATTACCAGCCTTTCAAAACATGGAAAGGCTCATGGATGAGTCAGCTGTAGAGCAGAGCTTTCTGAAGCTTAGCGGAAGGATGCTTGAGCTAGAAACAGACCAGTCTTCAATCTGCATCAGTCCTGAGGGCTACTCACAAGTTGTATGTGGGTGGGTGAAGCACTTACCCCTGTGCTATGGTTTCCACCATTGACGCAGCCAGCTAGGCAAGGATTAAAATATGTTATTCCATCTGATCCACACACAGGCTCGTACTCATGAATCTTACATCCACAGTTAACATTACAGCTCCCAGTCAGATTCCTGTGGGCCATGGCTAGAGTGGGACTGAAGAAAGGAAAAAGAACATGCTAGTGGAGCGAGCACAGATATCCTCCTGTACAGAGGGAGAAAACATCCTACTCATTAACTCTGGAACTGAGAGTTGATTATCAGAGAAAGACTGCGTTAACTCTACGTTATGTACATGACTTAAACAATATAGAAGACCCGAGTCATTCCTCCTAGCAACTAAAAACAGTATTAAAAAAAAAACCAAACCAAAGTTTAAAATTTTTATCAATATTTGCCTAGGTAATAGCCGTAATATTCCCCCTTGTGGTTTTTTTTCCTTTAAGAGTCAAGACATCACTATTTTATACATCTACCCTAAGCTGCAGCAGTTTGTTGCTGATTACTCGTGAAAGGCTCAGTGACAAGATGCAAGCATTCTGTGAACTAATGTGAACTAATAGGCATCTCTTCTCATACACCAACAACTGTTCAGAAAATGTAATGCTTGTATTATTCATATGTATACGTGAAATCTACAGGAAGCTCTCTAGATCTGGAAGATTGCTGTGCTTTTACTAAATGCCTGTAAAGGAATCACTACTCCACTTCCCTAGACCAGTCCCCAAAATCTGGCCAAAGTTCAGCTTTCTAGGTGCTTCCCTGAAGGGTTTGGTGTTACATTATGAAGGAACTAAATGCAGTTTCAAAGCTGAAGGAGGTGCACACACCAAAAAGCAGGCTCTTCACTAATACTGCTCTAGTGAAATATTGTAGCTGTATTTAAATAAGCCACATCTAATATTAATTAATCTAATCTAATCACATCTAGTATTACCTGAATGCATTATGCCAGAAAGTACCTGAAGGCATAGGAATCAAGTATTATCTTTTATCCATGATGTTACTGAACACGCTAGCTGAGGCACCAAAAAGAACATAGCTCTTCCACTTAGATATATGTATGCAGACACACCCTGAAATCTAAGTCATTTGCTGCTGTCATTATTTATAACAAGTGATAATTTTTTAATGGCCCATATTATATTTATACCTATTTTTGTTATACTTGTCACACTCTATGACTTGTTTCAGGTTGCTAAATTAACTTTAATAAGTGGAAAAGCAAAAGTTTGCAGTGTGGCTTATTGCTGGTTCAATTTTCTGCATCTCATTTGTAATTTCGCCTTGGTTTAAAATACTGCCAACAACATGAATGCACTAAAGCAATGGAAAAGTTACCCGAATTACTTTATTCATACCAATCTACTTCCAGGTGACTGGGCTGGCTGAAGCTAAGGACCCTAGCTCTTATTTCCTAAATACCTTTCTGTCTAAAGAAATCACAGCTCCTGAATTTGGCACCCACACTCCCTCTTCACTGCATAAGGTGATTCCAAGCCACTGAAAACTGAAAAGCAGCTGATATCAACATTTTCACCTGAAGTTTCTCCTGTTACTTAGGACACCCCCCCCCCATTTGATTATGTTACTTTCTGTCATAGCTGCACTCTAGGCTCTTAAGTGCTAAACAGGTGGATAGAGGCTACCACAGAGAAGGTGAACAATTTTTGTAGCAACCGATTTCCTGACTTCCTAGGAAAAACCCACTGTCAGGCAGTTCTTATCTCCTCCACACTAACTGTTAAATACAGTCGCCAATCTAATGAAGTGGGTATTAGTGGGAAACACATATACATCCCTTATGGATTTGGACATACTTCAAGTGCTTCCTTCCCACCTTTGAGTCACAGGAGCTTAAACATCTGCAGCTATATAGCTCCCTAAAACTACACAAGAGTCTGTGCTTGGTCTGAAGAGCTCTGTCCAAAATGCAAACAATAGCTTACTTCACTTCAGTAGCCCTTGAGAATAGGTAACTACACTACTGTCTCAGATTCAAGAGTTACAAATATGCTTAATCTTGATTTTGGCAAGAATTCACATATTTCAAACATGTCCCAAAGTTGTTCAGTCAATGAACTCCTCTACGCTCTCCACAATGGCCACAATGTCAAAGATCAAGTTTAGTCAAGACTGTGCCCTTTGCCTTCTCACATCTGAGTGATAAGTGGAGCTGCAGGCTCCATCCTATTTCTGGCTGTGGTCTGTGTCCAGTCCAGCCCAGAAGACCTGGATTTCTAAGAACAAATGCCAGCACCATCTCTGCAGAATCATCAAAACCAGATGGAATGGAGTTCTATTGGGCATGAGTATTTGCACATGCACCATAAGCAAGAATGTTGCCTTGGAAATTACCATGGTATACACAACCTCTCCACACTGGGCACCTCATGTAACATTCAATTAACTGTTCTGCCTTGTTTGTCTGCTCTCAGTACTGCTCAGTGGTCACTGCTCTTCAAAACTACCTCAAGTATACCTGCTCTAAGCAGATCATTAGGTATCCAGGGAATTTCAGCACCTCCTCACCCAGGCAGGAGCTGAATAGGAATCTGGATTGGGTTTGTGGCTGCATCCTCAAGATCCTGTACACATTGTTCACAGACTGTCAACAGCTGCAGAGCCTCACAAGGGCTGCCCTTAGCTTGTCTTCACATCTGTGATGCGTGGGCAAGACCACTGTGAAGATAAACAGCTGTCATCAGACTTACTGCATCTCAGCTACCCCATGGACCCCAAGGGATGTTCTTCTGCTTCCATCTTCTATACTTGACTAGACCAGAGACTCAGCTTGGGAGCCACTTTACACACATCAACTATCATCCATGTTGTCACTTTACCTCCTATCATTAGTGACACTAAGCAGTACGACTGCTGCTTAGTGGCTTCTACTTGGCTGGTTTTCATGTATTTATACACCGCTATTTGCTTTTGCTGAATACACTTGTCTTTCCAGCTGTGCACTTTTGCAGTCGATTAAATATTACTAAGTAGCTCTTAAATATTTATTGATTGTCTACTGATCACACAAATCAGGCTCACAGATTTAGCTCTTGGAGCTCCTTTACACTTTACGGTCTAGTTGGAGGTTAACCAAAGCCTTTCTGAGTGTTTTCTTTCTTGTGCCATAAACAAACAAGGCACAGTTTTAGAAACAAGTTGCAGCTTGTGCAGGAAATTAAATACCCTGGACTGATATTGGTTCTGTCACCTTCTCAGCTATCAACTGAAACTTGTCTTACTATATCACGCTGGATTTCAGTAAGCATTATGCAGCAACACATCATTTAGCAACAGGCAGACTTTCCAGTAATTTCTCAACAGAATTTTTCTCCAATGGAAAACACCAAATCATCAGAACATTCCTTGGGAACATAGAGATTTCAGCAGCACAGTGGCAGAAGTTTTTCACACCAGCAGGAGAGGCAGCATTTCTGGAGTTTCACAAGATCCTAGTCAGCCTGCTGAGCTGGCTATCCCAGATGCCTGAATATTTGGAGTAAGAAGGGACTCCACAACCTGCCTGGGAGACCCCTGTGCCTGTGTCCCTGCTGCCAACAGGGCTTTGTCACACTGCACAGGGACAGGTCCAGTAACAGCCCAGACTGCTGGGAAAGGCACAGCTCAGGTTCCCCTCTCCAACCATTCCCACCCTGTGGCACACATTCTTCTGACCTCTTATCCCTCCATCACCTAAAATCCTTCACAGCAGCAGACGGGTCATGTTGTTCCACAGGCATGAAATCCCATTCCCCGTCTCGCTCCACTTACATAGCTAACTCACTTCAGCTGTGCTGCTGAACATTACCATGACACTGGGGTTAGGAAATCAGCTTTAAAAAAAAAAGTGAATTAAATCAGGCATGCAAGAAATGAGAAGCATGAAACTGGAAACTGCACTGAGACCACTGTGATAATTTAATCTCAAGGGCTTTTTTTTTTGGTCCCAGAAGAAGACTTGAGTTTATAGCAAAAATGCTTAAAGAAGCATTATATGCTCAAATTAATAACAAGCTATTGCAAGCTGTGTGTCTCCAGCTTTCATTACCTTTTGTACCTCAGCATATCACTGTAAGGTTTATTTGGGGGATTTCTTTTTTTTATTTAGAGTAAATTCCTTGCACACAAAGCAGCTTGTTTTTTTCATATTTTCAAGAACATGTAATACACAAAACCATCTATTAACTCTATTTCCAAAAGGTCAGTATCAGACAATAGTAAGAGGTTCATGCTTTCATCTTTATTACCTTCACTTTTCACTCCTCTTTCATTGATGGGAAACTAATGAAGAATGAAGGAATTCAGATGCTGGGGACATGAAATCTCTACTAACACATACCTGTATTTTCATCACATGGGATCTACCATATAGCATGTATTATAACAGTTTTCTTGAACGCCTCTTCCAGGATGGGATCAATTTTCTTGAAGGTATGTATTTTTCCAGAAGTAAGCTGAACCAAAGTACACTACTAATCCTGCCTTCTGACATTGGGAAGCTGCCTAATCTTCACAAAGGAAAACAGAATTGATCCCTGAATTACTGCACATCACCAATTTACCTGCATTGGTCCTAAAGATCAGGATCTTATGGAAACTGCACCAAAGCTAGTAAGTCCTGCTCATGAGCTGACCTGTGGGAAAAGCAGCTTATTTTTAATGCATCCACTGCTGTACACACACAGAATGTCTAAGAAACAGCCAACCTGCTTGTTTCAGCAGGTGTAGATGCTGCCAACTCACAATGCTGCTGCACTTGAGCTGCCAAGGACACCCATCATGCACAAGCACACCAACAGAAACCAGCCCCAAACGACAGTGTTTCCTGAACTATTCTTTCAATTACAAACAATGATGCCACTCCTTTCATTAATAAGATTCAACTACAAGTTTGCTAAACGTGTGCTGGGATAAAACCCAGAATCCCATCTGACAAATTGCTTTTGGTCAGTTCTCAGTTCTATGTCTCCATGACATGATGCTAGTAAAGCTAATAAAGAGAAGACCTTTATTAGATGTGACTAATGATGAAAGGGACCCTAGTTTCTACCATTTATTTTTTTAAAATCCTGTTCTCCTCTCCATCTACTACTCTATGGAAGGCTTGTGGTATAGGAGTAAAGTAAGAAAAAGGAAAATATAAGATGAGATTTATTGCTGGGAGCTTTTAAAGCTCCAGTGTTATTTCACATACTCAGGCTTGGACTGAAACATCATTGTGTTGGCAGTCAATGCATATATATTGTGGGGAGGGGGGAAGTAAACCCTCTTCCCATGAGGTTACAAAACACAAGTTTTAAAAATAACCCACAAACATGCATGACTATATTTTGGTAACGTCTAAGCAAAGAATTGTTTTGCACATGGTTTTATTCATTTTTATTTAGACTACTGTAGTAATCTACAGGACCAAGGAAATACAAAGGAAAGGAAATAACCCCTCACCACATAATTTCTATAATCTTAATATTAGGCTATATGATAAAAAGGATTATCTTGATAGCAATATTTTTGGTTTGGTATTGAAGGACATTCTGGATGGCAGAGCTCTGCAGCCTCCTTGTTGGCAAGCAGCTGGAATTGCAGCAATGATGCAATTTTTGTGTAGCTGTCAAACAAGGGACCCTCTCACTATGTTAGCTGGATTCCTTCTTTGTTGTTATTGTTCTGATCCAAATAGTCACTGCTTTCAAGTTGAGGGATCCAACTGGCTAATCGGACTGAAATAGATACAAAATACCAGAAACTCAAACTGGTAGTACAAAAGGAAGAATACAATTTACTTTTTTATGCGAAATGCCTCATTAAGTCAATTGCAAGCTTTAACTAAACCTTAATTGCACCAAAACAACAGAAAACAATCAAAAAGGGTCTGTTTTGATTCATTACATACCAGAAATGTGAGGGATGGAACTGAACTAATCCAGGAATCTGTCACTATGAGTAAGCTCCCCATTAAGCCTGTTTTTGCTGCCTTATACCACAAAACATGGAAAAGACAGGTCTAAAAACAAACAAAAGCAGCTGATCTCTGCTATTTCCCCTTTATTCAGCACTGGTAAGGCCACAGCTGCACTGCTGGGTCCAGTTCTGGGCTCCCCCCTAGGAGAGAGACACGGGCACACTGGAGTCAAGGTCCACAAAGATGCTAAAGAGATCAGAGCATCTCTCTCCTGAGGAAAAACAGAGAGTTGGGACTGTCCAGCCTGGAAAAGAGAAGGCTCAGGGGGATCTGATCAATGTCTATGATCCTGAAGGGAGGGTGCAAAGAAAACAGAGACAGGCTCTTTTCAGTGATTCCTAGAGCCTGGACCAGAGGCAATGGGAACAAACTGAAATATAGGAGGTTCCCTATGAACACCAGGAACATTTTTTCACTGTGAAGGTGACCAAGTGCTGGCACAGGTTGCCCAGGGAGGCTATGGAGCTTCCCTCCTTGGAGATATTCAAAAGCCATTTTGACAAGGAGACAACTCACTGATTCAGAAAATCCCACCTGGATGCTGGTTATGGTGCAAGAGAAAGGATGTCATATTGTGGTTTGACATAAGGCTCCTTACACTGTATGCAAAGATGCCCTCAGAGATAAGGCTGGGGCATGGAACAACAGGTTCTAAAATGCTGAGATGTATAATACAGAGGTGCCCTTGATCTTCCTGATAACAGAAATGCTGATGACACACCAACAACAGCAAAACTGCTTGTGCCCAACATAAAACAGCAGAAAATCCTTTCTAATGTATTCTAATCTGTGCATGCCTCCAGGTCCCATCCACTTCCTCGCAGCTGGTACAGTTAGAAAAATACTGAGTTATGAAACATACTGAATTACAAAATGTCATTGCCTACTTTGCTGAGTACTGGCATGCACATACTTCTGTATTAACTGAAAACCCAGTTTACCCTTCTCCTCTGTATTGGTTTATGGTCCAGACCATCAAAGGGAAAAAAAACCCCAACAGAACAGTAGAAAGGAATATGTTTGCCCAGAGATTATCCTGCAGGGTATGTCTACACTGCCCAGTGCAGCTGAAATCTCTGGGTTGCTGCCAGTTCAGGTAGTTCAGACATCTGACCCAGGACTGCCACATTAAGGTAGAGCACCATGCAATGCATTTATTCCAAAACAGGTCACTGTACTGCTCCTATCTGATCTAGCCTGTTGAACTGGCTTTGATGTCCATGTGTTGCACTGCATTTGAGCTAGAGAATCTTCATTTCATGTTTCATTAAACCTCAAAATGAAAGCATGCTTTTTATTACGTGAACAATAATATTCTTTGATGCCTGAGTTAAAGATTTGTCTACTAAGTAAATGACCTGAAGCTATCAAATGATTGACCACAAGGATTAAGAGAATGTTTATCAAGTCAGATATTCAAGATTAATTTATGTGTAGTGCTGTCTTTTTGCAATCATTTTGATAATAAATCTGGATTTGATCTCTCTGTTAAAAAATCACGTGGAGTTGAAACTCCTGAACCATGCTCTGTAACATACAATTCTCAATTTCTGATGACATTACAGTCTAAGTATACTAATTTTTATACTGATTTCAAAGAGTTTATATACATCAACACTTGGAAGAATTTTGCCATTATCATCTCTCACCTCTTTTCTCAATAATAACAATTAGATGAAGGTGGTTAAAGAAGTAAGGCTACTGCAGACATTCACAGCAGCTGTGAATAGATGCCTATTTCAATTCATGCTATGTATTTACTGCAAATGTTATTTACTTACTGAAAAAAATATTAGATACTCTTACAATTCCAGAATGAAGGGTATGTGTTACATAGCAATAGTATGCCTTGTCTTCAGTTTAGAAATAGATTTAAATCAAATTTGACTTTTTCCATAACAGAAAGCTACAACCTTCTCATTAGCCAGACAGGAACATTCTAACTTGCCACACAGATCAACTAATTGCTATCTCAAGTTTATGTTTTCATTCCTAATAATTTTCATTTTTTCGTCTACACCCACAGGCTGTCATAAACATTAACAGCAGGTGGACATTCAAAGCATTCCACCCCCTTCCCATCCCTATTCTCTCCTTCTTCAGCCCACCATGCTCAGATGAGGATATATCACCATGCTATCCCCTTCTACGGACAGCCCCTCAGCACCAAGCTTTAACTCTAGGCATTAAGAACATAAAGGAGTAAACCAGCTTTCCAACAGCTCATGACTTTCAGTTGCTGGTTTTCTTTTCTCTAGGATTTAGGTTTGACAGCAATGTAGTAACACCCAGCAACAAGCAATGCAAAACATTCTCTGTGTAAACAGTGCCTATTTTCTTCCTGCCTTGCCTCCCATTTTGCCTGTTTGTTTTTCACTTGCTAGCTCACTGCTCCACTGTATTTTTTCCCCATTTGATCATCTGTTTTCCTGATCCACACTTCTATGCTCTCTTCAAAATGTTAGGAGTCCAGAGCCTGCCTTAAAAGCAAGACACATAAATGGATCTGATACCCAGCACCTGGCCATAAATAAAAGGCAGACACATCTCAGATGTAAAGGTGAAGGGAAAAACATTGCTTCAGACAGGTTCATACTCTTCAAATGCTTATTCTATTCTTGTGTTCAGCCTACATGAAGAGGGCAATTTTGGGGAAAATCTCACATCTCATGTTCAAACTAAGTAAGAAAATAAAAGCTTGATATCAGGCTTCTAAGGAATCACCTTCCAGTGAAACTTTCCCACAACTTTTACCACAATGTCTTCCCTCCAAATATCCCTTTTTCTTTTTTTTTTTAAGCCCCTTCCATGCATTTCTTAATGCCACAGCCCAAATTTCTCACTCTCAAGTCTTTCCTACATCCACACCTTCTTTTACTCATAACAGCCTTCTTCACCCTCAAAGACAATTTTAGGGGATATGATCTAGCCACTGCCTTGATGATGATCCAACAAGCACTTGAGAGCTTTCACACAGCTAGTGAGGGGTTCAGAAGCAGTGCACTCCACTCAGATTGACAGCACATGCCCAAGCGATTCCTCTCAAACAGCGACTGTAGACCTAAGACACTATTATGGTGATAATAAACAACCTTTACAATTTTCATGAGCAGAAAACATTTTGAAACACCAAGTAAATTCTAAGTAATCTACAGAGGATACTGTTCTTACTTTTCTGCAACAATCACTTCCATTCTAGTCCATTCTAACGCATTTTCCCACCCTTCAAAAAGGTGAGTTACTACATAACCTTCATTATAAACCAGATTTTAAAAAACAAGGGCCACATAGTAAGTAATAGTATGTGTTTATATCACAATACTCACTGAATTATCATTTGAATGTGTGGCTCCTTCAGGACATCAGCTACCAGTATTTTTATATTTCTAGATCAGGTTTATCATCAAAAGCTGGTTCTAACATAGAATATTCCAAGATACTTACCCAGTTGTGTAGGGTATATTTATTCCCCCTAGATTAATGCTTTCACATCCAACAATGAAGAGTGTTGAAAAGCACAGCAGAGATACACCACTGCAGATCATAGCCAACTTTGCAGACTCTCTTGCACCGAGTTTCAGTTTTTTTATAATGTAGCCACCTAGGACAATACCAACACCAGCACTTGGGACAATAATCACACCTGCCAGGAAAAAATTCAAGCAGTATTAACACAGGACCTATAGAGATGGTATAAAACATAAATATTTTTTCATTCCCTAATTAGATGAGTGCAAATGTGACACTAAGATCTCCATTGTCTGATTCTCTGCTAGCAAACTGAGTCAGACTTTTCAAATCTCTGGAGTGCTGTCAAAGAATCTATAAAAGCCTCCTTATGATATTAGCAGCAGCCAAAGCACTATAAGAGAACTATTGTACTTACAAGCAGAAACATTGCTTTGTATTTATTTTAGAATGGGCTGAAGGGCTACATATTGGTCCAGTTTAAGTACTGAAAATTTGAAGAAATCCAGATTTGGACATGAATCTTCTTTGTCCTATTCCCATGTTTAATTCCAGTGAAGCGCAAGTGGGCAGAACCTGCCCACCTAGGAGTGCATGCATGAGCCTGGCTGCAAATTCTGCCTTCTGGAAACTTTACTCAAGCTGAGTAGCACTTTCTCAGGCAACTAGCAACATGACAAGAGGAAATGACCTCAAGCTGCACCAGGGGAGGTTCAGGTTGCACATCAGGAAGTATTTCTTCACTGAAAAGGTGGTTAAGCATTGGAAAGGCTGACCAGGGAGGTGGTGGAGTCACGACCCCTGGAGGTGTTCAAGAAACAACTGGACATGGCATTTAGTGCTATGGTCTAGTTGACGAGGTGGCGTTTGATATGTTTAAGACACAAGAGATGTGCCTATGAAATTGCTGCTGCTGCAGTTGAAGGTGGCAGTTCAGCAACACATCACTGGGTTGTCCTCACTTGCTGGGTCCTGAGGTGGTGTTAAGTCACAAATGTCTCATGCTTTGCTTCCCTTGATTTTTAGCTTCTTACTGACAAGTGAGAAGGTCTTTAAATTAAGGCTTTGCTAATAAAGATGCATTCCACATAAATATGGAATTTGAAGTACTTTTGGCAGCTGCATCTACAAAGAAGCTAAGCTTTATCATCCAAATTCTTCAAGACATTGGTCTTTTTAAAGAAGCCAGACTGTCATTCGAAATATCTTTAATATTATTGCGAGGCATACTTATTATCTGTTCATTTGTCTAAAGGTGAAAGGGACATTATATTTATCAAAATCTTGAGATCATGAAAATAAGAATCAGAGATAAAAATAGCTGGCACCTTAATTATACTGCCATCACCAATGACATTATAGAATAAAATGCCATTTCATGATGAAGATTCTAAACAGTAACTCTTCACAGAATCAAAAGCAGTCTTTCTCACAAGAGCAGAAATTAAATGTATAAAGTGCACAAGTTCAAGATATGAAGCTTGGCACATGGCGTTTTTGCTGATAATTAATGCCAGTTTTTTTAAAAAACAGAAAGAAATTGAGACTTAATTAAAGAATTGCTGCTTAGGACACAAAAAATTACCAACAAAACCTTTGCATGAAGAGATTCAGGAAACACATGCATTCATTCAGCTGGCAATGTACATATTAAGCATAGATGTGATAACATAAATAGCATACAAAGTCTCCTTTTGCTAACCAGAAAATTTGTAAACTTGACATGTATTTTACTATATTAGCCAGTGATAATCTAACACAGAATCTCAAAGTTTCCCTTTCCCATTTTTCCTCAAAAAATAGTATACAATTAACAAGTGTTGACTTTATTGCTAAGTTTAGGAGTTGGGGTTGTGGAAGCAGTGCTCACTTGTCCATGCTGCACATCCAGCCTGAGATATCTCATCTTCTTCTTCAGGTTCATTATAATAGTCTTTATCGAATAATTTATAACAGGGAAAACAACAGATGCTAATAGCTTCATATGCTGGACAGGGTCACACCAGTTTTACCTCTTTTAATGTACTGGCTGTTGAATATTTTTTCTGGCAAGAATGTTTCTGGTTTATCCTAAGAATAAAGCAAGTTATGGAGTAGCAATCCCATCAAGACTCATAACAGTAAAGCTCCTATGCATGTGTAGCTTCCCTAAGTGTCAGATAGCATCACGATCCCATCAATCAATGTTTCCTCCTTATTTACAGGACACAGGGATTTCATGTCCTGAAGAAAATCTCATCCCAGCAAGCTCTCGAATAGAAGGCACGACATGGTCCTTCTCTGACTTTTCCCCTCTCCACTCTAGAAAGATTCCTTGCATTTCTTCCAGCCACTGAAGGTAACAAATGAGTCCCACGTGAGGTCTATGTGTCTTCTCTCTTTCTTCTGCTACTTTTTGTCTTTTCCTTGACTGATGCCCCCGGGGCAGCTTCACTCCGTACTTCACCCCTGTCCCCACAACTCATTCCACTCCATCACTTCCAGACATCTGGAAGTATGGGGAAGCAAAGAACTAACCTGCCTAGCAATTAGCAGCTATTCTATATGGGAAGCACCATGGAGAAGTTGCAAAGATGTTTATAAAGACAAGCGTCTTTGATGCAGCTAGAAGAGGAAGAAGCTCATCTGCATGACAGAGGCCCTAATTCTGCACAACATTTTGACCCTTTTTCCTAGGAAAGTTCCCATCTCTCCCACCCACAGAGTGGTACAAAGCTTAACATTTTGTGGTTTGTAGCTCTGTTAGAAGTTGGACATGGCTGTACATTGCTGTGGCAGCAGGGCAAGAACCACAGCTGCAAAACAGGGGGCTCAGACCTGAAATGACAGGTGGGAGAGGATTTGGGGAACTCTCCTGACTCAACTAGATTGTAGGGCACTCAGTGTTAATAAGTAAATAAGAAGAAAACCACCAGCCTGGATGGGAGAGAGAACTGAAGGATGGAACAGATAACAACTTGGCACTGGGGAGAAAAAAAAGGATATTTGAAAGATCACGGAGGAAGTAAAATTCACATAAAGTAAGATCAGCTTTGATATATCATTTAAAGCACACTAATCGCAGAAATGTTTATGTGTTTTCTAGCTTGTTTTTGTTGGGTTTTGCCCCTTTGAACACTATTAACAGATGAGAAAATGTCTGTTTAGGCTTATGCAAAAAAACCCCAGCCCTTTAACAATTCAAATGGGTTCACATTTTACTAAACACAGGTAGCAAACATCAAAAAACCAGCCTGAATATCTAACCAAAGGCAGAAGGCTGGATCCAGTCACCTGTTCTAAAAAACACATTTTTGACTCATTCCTACATTGAATCATTTCATTAGTCAAAGCCAACTCTTGCAAGGTTACACTATGTGCTAATGCCTTACCAGTGTAGATGCTGGCATTGGAAGCTGGGATGCCAAACTGTGACTCGATGAACTTGGGAATGAAGGTAATAAAAGCTGTGACAATGGCACTCTCAGCTGTGTATGACAAACTCACAAAAAGGAATGTCATGTTGCTTAAAATCCTGACAGCTGCTCTTGGAAGCTCTATAAAATGACAAAAATGACAAACGAATCTTATAAACAATGAGTGAGAAACAAAAGCAAACTGAAACAAAACCAATTGATTTTCTTTGAGACAGACTGGCAATAATGGCTTGCTAGCATCTGGCTATGCTTGCTAAGCAGAAGGGAGAATGCATACTTGGGATTGCAGCCCTCAATGTCTGCTCTTACCCTATCTCACTGCATCACCCCAGGGCTGCAGTCCCACTCTGCACAAACACAACTGAGGTCTGTTTTAACAAAACCATCTGAAGAAACAGGACTTACATAGTAACATTATAAAGGAATGAAAAACAGCAATAAAACACAGTGATTTTGGAATTATTATGATATCTTATCTTTAAATTTTCTATGAGATAACACATATCACACAGCTGAACAGACAGTACTGTGTTTTGCATGCTGCAGGAAGAAAACAGTTCATATACTCCTCCTGTAACTCTCTGCTCCAAGGACCATGCTTGGAAAGCTGGGGTAATGATATTCCAATTTGAAAAGGGGACCAAAATATTTTGTTAAACATTTCTCTATGTGACTTAAAAGCATTTACGATGATGCAGACATCAATGCTATCAATGAATCTCAACATACATTACATATAACCGAATTAATATTCTCAGAAGGGATAAAGCAATCAATTAAAAATGAAAGCATGTCATTAACTTAAATTGAAAAAGTATTCATAGCTGTTGCAATTATTCTCAAATCAAATATTAAAACCCCATGAAATTCAGCACTATAATTAAATGAAACACACACTTGCAATTCAGTCCTGCAGTGATGTCAAATTATCATCACAAGGTTATGATAACTCTATTCAACACTTCATTTTTTTTCAGATTAGATGGTGTGATTTTAAGCATGTTTTTATTTCCTTGGGGTTTCTAACAACACCAGATTTTCTGTCAAGTGTTATGTCTAACCTATTGCAGAGGTTAATCTAAACTATTGTAGTTCAGATTTTTTCATTTGCTTTTCACTTGGCACAGAAACTCAATGGTGCTTGAATCAAAGCCCGTTGAATTCAATGACAAGACCACCCATTAGAAATACAACATGTTGAGCAAGAACAACTGAGTGAGAACTTTATTGATCTTAAAAGTTGTCAAGACCAAAATCTCACTTTCTCCACTGACTCCAGTAGGTTATCTGAATAAAAGCGAACAGAATTTAGACTCTTGTCATGTCAAAACTTGTCAAGTTGCAAATTAGCACTTAAGTTGTCTGACTGCATTCAGTCTTAGCTTATGCCAGTCATCAAAATTTATACTGAATTCATGACGAGTACAGGGTTTATAATTTTAATGTAGTCAAATGCTCTCCTGCTGCCTCAAAATTTGGTGGAAATAACTAATGAATAAATCATATTAAAAAGCACTCATATATTTTAATCTTCATGGGTTTTACCAACTATAGCTTTTCTTTTACAACAAAAATGGTGCTGGTTGCAATAGAAGCAACAGAAGCAAGTAGTTATGACCACGCTGATACAGCTGTGAAAGAGGAGTCAGAAAGCCAAAAGAAAGGGTGCCAGGATCAGTCCTTCAGGAAACAGGTATTTGGTGGCAGCTGCTCACCTGGGCTGAAAATGTGGAAGAAAAATAACAAGCTATCATCACAGAGAGAAATATAATTATTTTAGGATGATGAACTGAGTGCCCTTTGTAAAAATGAACTGAAAGTACTTAGCCGAGGGCTGAACTCAAGATCTTTGCTAAATCCATTACTTTAAAGAGCATGGTCCAAATATTGTAATACCTGGTAAAGTTTACCCTTTCCTGGTAAAACTGAGCTTCAGGAAAATCTCTGGTTTAGAACTTTCAACCTAAAGATACTGAAGAATTAATTAGGCACAGAACTGCACAGCTAATGAGCATTTTGCTCTGGTGTTCCTATGTAGAGCTGTACTTTCCATTGACTCCTACTTGCATGTCATCTGAGCATTTAGTCTAAAGGTCATTATTCATTTCAAAACTAATTAGTATTTTGAAATTGGATTTCTACTGATAAACAGATAGAACTTCCTGTCTTGAAATAAAATCAAGGTCTCTTACACCCGTGTGAAGGATTCAGGGAACAGCTTTGCTGATTACTGCAAATTTTGGCATAAAACAAGAGTTTATTCCTGCATGCCTCACTAATACATGCCACCTGGAGCAGTTGAGAGTTGAAGCTCTTTGTGATTTATAAAGAGAAACTGTCTGGCATGCAAGGAAAAGTTGCTATATAGCAAGAACCTTGGAAATAAAAGCACATATTCAGAATTAGTTATTCCCTGATTTCCTCCTATGATCACTATCAAATCCTGTGTGACAGCATCCATACTACACTTCTGAATCTAAAAACCTATAATAAAAAGGCACTATAAGTAAGTCATATCTTTCAACCACAGTAATTGTAGTAAAAGGCAAGAATGCTAAAATCTTAAATGATCTTTTGTACTACACAATCAGTCATGCTTTTAAAACATTTCAATGTCAAATTACTTTTGTGCGACTAGCCATAGGCCTAGGCTTTGATTTCAAGGCCATTATTAAACCTGTCAGGTTCTGATTTTTAAGAGGTCTTTAAAAAACATCACTTGTTTTTGCAAGTCTGCATCAGAAATAAACCTATGAGGACTTGATGTTTCCCTCCTTCTGTCACTTAAACAAACAAATATCTATAAATTACATTCCTAGAACTAAACAGCTTTAGTCTGGCTGCAAACAAGTTTATATTTCTGTGCAGTAACTCAAATCTTAAACATCCTCATCATCTTTCTCTTTTTTTCCTTTTCTTTTTTTCCAAATAACCTAGTAGATAACAAAGAGTAAATTGAAACCTGCCTTGCTGGACTGGCTTGCTAGTCTACTGGCAATTTTCTTCCTTTCATGATCTTTGACAATACTTTTTCTCTAGTCAGTGTTCATTTTCTTTCATTTGTGTGCTGGGCCACTGCTTGATTCATGGTAAGAGAAAAGCATAAGAAAATTCTGAAAGTAATACAAGTATTCATAAATATTGCTCTAAGGAAAACATTTAAAACATCAGAAACAGAGTTTTAATAAAAATTCAAATAATTCTGACTTCACCTACTTTTTCATAATTTAATATACTTTCTTTTATCCCTGTTCCTGCACACCTAGCCCAAGGCAATGCAATAAATATAATCAGGGGAATAAACAATCCCAGTCTACAGCACTGTCCTTTTGTAGTCCACCTGTGATGCCCCTTTTAAGGGTGATGCAGATATTAGTTACAGGACTTCCCTTCTGCTGGTGCTCCAAGCCTGGACAGCATTAGCCAAGCCTGCAGTTTTGAAGGAGGCTGCTTCCACACCAAGGTCTCAGGGGCAGCTTCCACTCTTGTGTAGTACAAAGCAGAGATGAGACAGAATTTCCAGTTTGTTTATCAGAATGGAAATTAGTCACACACTACTACTTCAAATATATCCTGCAAGGAACTCATCACTAAATTCTAGAATAGAATTTTGCCCTGTATTTCAAGTCATTATCTACTTGTGCACCATCTGAATGGTGCATACAACTCTCAGGACACGCCTTAAGGATTTGGGTGGTGGCTAGATCATTGAACAGCCCCTAATATCCCATCAGGAGTAGAGGGGTTCACAGACAGTTTGATATGATTATTACTTTTGTTAACTTGATTTAGAGCAGCTCTTTGAGGCTCCAGCTAATACTGCTCATCACTGCACAGTGTCATGACAGATCTTCTATTTTGAGCTCTTCAGGACAGCCTAAGAAAGGGTGAGAGAGGAGTGACTCACTCAAGGTCAGTGGCACGGCAGGATCTCCTGCCCCACGGTCTGCTAAACCCTCTGACCTTTACAGTGCTCACCAAGCACCCACACGCACAGACCACCGTCTCCTCCACCTCTTCTGGTCCCTGCCAACTAGCCTTCAGGTAGTGCAGAACCCCCAGCCCAGTTCCTTAGGGAAGCACTGCAGTAGGCTTATCCTACAACCCCAAGCCCCTCAGGAGTTTCTTCTATGTTTGCTGATGCCCTGACAAGCATTACTATCCTGTCTCTGTCCCTCACAGGAACTGACTAAGAAAGACATATGACAGCTGGTAGATACAAAAAGGCAGACGAGAATATTCTACATTTAGGAAAGGGCTACACACATGGACACACACAAAAGAAAACCAATCCCAAAGGCTACAAAATACATGTAATTAATTAGATTAATTATTTATTCAGATTAGATCGATACCTTTTAGGTAATATACATATATTTGCTTTCTTTACACTGCTCCTTTATTCAATTGCACAGTAAGTTTCATTATTGTGGTAAGGGAAAGGGACTGCAGATACAATTTCCATGGTACAAACCCCTAAGGGTATCTAGGTAATAAATAAAAACAGTAGTTTTGTCTGCTCAGATTCATGAAGTGTCTGCACATATGGGATTGAACCATAGTTTCTTCATTATAAATCTCCTCTAGCTCATATTATCTACACTACCTGTTTCTCCCAAGAAACTACATACAATTGTCTTCCTCCTGTGACCTACTTAATGTTCCATTGAATACTTTTGATACCTGACTCAGAATTATTCTCTGCCTCATGTTTTCTACTTGCAACATAAATAAGACTGAATTCCAAGCCCTTGCAACCTGAAACATGTGAAGAAGTAAAGATGGATCTGTATTTTTATCTGATCTCAGTTCTACCATGGGTCAAAATAAAGTTCAGGTCACTGAAGTTGGAGGCTATTTGCAGATGGAGTCAATTTTGGTTTATTTCTTCAGCCTATACTGGCAGCCATTGCAGGAAAAAAGACTCTGGCCCTCTCTCATCATGCCTTTTTGGTACCTTTTCCTTCATCTAGAGAACTAATCAGGAAATTAGGACAAGTTACAACAAGACAAAAATCATTTTGCCAGGTTTCTCTGGTAAGATGAGATCATATCGGAAGAACAAAGCAAACAGTTTCTTTCCTACAACTTTCCTTACCAAAGCTGCACAGATTTCACAGATTTAATGGCATCAACTTCTGTCATGGCAGACTATGACACCACTGATATTTATTAGTACAGAAGATATGACCTACTAAATATCAGTCTCCTGGCTACTGCTTAAGTGGAGTTTCTGTCCATCATACTATAAAAAGATGAAGCTCTGAAAATCAATGGGAAATATAAAATGTACATTGCATCTCAGAAGAGGCAATGCTAAATGACTTAGACACATGCGATCCTTTTTTCCTTCCCATTATAAACAAGATTACCTCAAGTGAGAGGCCTGAGGCATGATCTCATTCCATAAAGCCCA